ATTATAAAAAGCGACATTTACAATCAATCAATTGTTTGCTACTCATCGCTACATAAACTGTTCAGAGAAAGAGTCCTGATATCTTGCAAGGCAAAATAACAATTACAATTTCTACAACAGACTACACTTTTTAACATATTGTGCACCAAAAACAAAATCATAGACGTCTTGCAGGTTGTACATTCTTGCTTGAGCTCTGTATTTCTAGAATGAAAAAAAAGAAAACTTATCAAATCTGTTTTTCTTCGTTTCTTAAATTATATTTGTTAACTTGTGTGACTGGATATGTTAGTCACACGATGTTTCAATGAACAAAACAAGCACGATAGTTCTCTCTTCCTGTCTCTTTATCCTTGCTATTTCGATCGAGCTTATCGTTAAAATGGAACGAATGGTAAAGTAAAGCTAGTTCTTGCTTAAGAAAGAATAAAAAATAACGAAGAAAGTAAAATCTTACGGTGCCGCGAGGATTCAAGTAAAATTCGAGGGACATGCAGCGCTCACACGCAGGATAGTCAGGTTCAACAAATCGAGTCTATTCAAAACTTTTACAGTCAATAATCCACGCTTCAAGATTTTTCAATACAATTCCAAACTCACCCATTTGTTGCAGTTATCAAAACCGCTCATCATTTTCTATAGGACACTTCCTAGATTTTTTCCCGGCCTTCTTCTCCCTTAACTTGAACAACACCAGTGTAATTATTCCACAGATCATTGCACCAAACATTGCACCTTTCCAAAATTCGTAAGAGGAAAACATTCTTCTCTTTTGTCCAGATCAAGCGCAAAAGCTCTCGTCCAAGACGCATTCGTCAAAGTGGTCACACTCTCTAAAGCCTGGTTCTCATATGCCGCAGACATACCGGAGACATGTGAACATTTATCGCCGAATCATAATCTCAAAAGCCATAATCGATATTGGACAATGGCGAATTCGCATTATGGTGACTCAGAGTATGTTCCGCTTTGCTGGACACCTTGAATCATACCGCTTATCTGTCAATCAAAATTCCAGTCAACATAAACAGTAGCCAAGGAATGTTATGTAGATGATGCTTTTAACGAACAAAGGTCGTGTGTGCCACGGAACAACGAGAGCCAGAGGATAGAGAAAGGGGCTGGTAACACGGAAATTTGCCAGAAAGAACTCGGCTTTTATGTCGTCGGACTCGTTATTAATCCGCACTACTGCCTTTCTCTTCAGCCATGATCTGTTGATATGTCTGAAAAGCTCGATGCAA